TTCTTGGTCGTCAGAACACCCAGGAGTCGCCAGTTCATCCTCGTTCTCATCCACAGACCTTTTTAGCTCTCAGGACCCCTTCCTCATGGTCCTGCTTCTCTCTGATGCACAAGGTCACTCTTCAGCTTCTGCACCGCTGTGGGGTTCAGAATTCTCTATCACGGTTTCTCAAGCCCTTCTGCCCGACGTTCCATGACCCATTTCCCCTCTGGGGCCTTTGTGCTTCTCCAGAATCTACCTGGGGAAGGGAGACGGGTCCCCTCTGCTCATAAATCCCACAACCTATCTGGGGTTTCTTTTTTTCTCTTGCTCTTGACTCTACATCTCAGCTTGGGAGAGGCAGTAGGACAAGCAGAGAACCCCTTCTCAGGGACCTGCTAACATCTGAAGTCTCTGCACTTCCCTCCTCTTCATCCCCTGATCCCATGTGCCTTCATCTAACTAAAGGGCAGGGACACTGGACGCTATTCATTTCATACAAGTCTATGTTCTTCTTCATTCAGGGGCTTAGGATTTTGAGACTCAAAATGCCCTTCCCTGCCTCCTGTCTGCCATCCCTTCCCTGAACCACTGGGTGCTCCTCTGTCTACAGCTACAATTAATAGAAGGGCACTGGGCAGGGCCAGGAGATATAGTATAAATCTTACATTAATGCATCAAAATATCCCCCCACCTCACTTGTATATATACAGAAACTAACTTGTAGAGGAGGACTATTTGCATGATGTAGGCTTTTATTTTGTTCCAAGCTTTTACAATATGCTTGCTCTATTTTTATGATTTTTGTAAGCTAGTTATTTTAAGAGGCCTTTTTATGAACAACACCAAAAAAAAAACCAAAAAACACTGGGATTTTGTGAGAGTTTGGACTCCCTTGGGCTCCACTTCCCCTCACAGGAGTCCATGACTTTTGTGTTGAGCAGTGTGGTTGAAAGATGTCATTCTGACCCCAGGACTCAGAAGTCCCATTGCCCTCTGTACCCTCATCTTTGAGTGTTGCTTCTGGCAGATGAGGTCCTTGGGGCGTCAGGCCAGGAGCCGTTTCCACTGATCTGTGCCCCATTGGCCTGTGGGTTTCCCTTGATGTTATCAGTCCATTTTTCTGAGCTTCTCAGGAGACCATTTCCAGGAGGGGTTAAGCTCATAAAACTCTCACTGACCTGGATGGCAATGGTCATGGACCAAAGGAGCCTTAAATACAAAGGAGAAAAGTACACGTTTGGGAACTTCAAAGTGAGTGATTTAGGAATCTGGGGAAATATGACATTCTGAATAAGTCATGGTAGGACTATTTATTTGGCCTACTTCCTGGATTTTGTGCAGTAAAATAGGGAAATGTTGACAATGCTGTTCCATTTTGCTCATAAAAAACCTAATGGTATTCAATGCCCTGATTATGAAACATTCTGAAGGTCAAGTCTATCTCCGAGTATTTGTATTTCTCAGCTCAAGTGTTGCCTACAGCCGGGCGCGGTGGCCCACGCCTGTAATTCAAGCACTCCGGGAGGCTGAGGTGGGAGGATTGCTTGAGGTCAGGAGTTCAAGACCCTACCGCTACTGAAAATAGAAAAAATTAGCCAGGCAACTAAAAGTAGAAACAAAAAATTAGCCAGGCATGGTGGCCAGCACGTGTAGCCCCAGCTACTTGGGAGGCTGAGGCAGGAGGATCACTTGAGCCCAGGAGTTTGAGGTTGCTGTGAGCTAGGCTAATGTCATGGCACTCTAGCCTGGGCAACAGAACAAGACTCTGTCTCAAAAAATAAAAATCATGATAATAATAACAAGAATTGCCTTTGAGTGAAAGCTTTCTCCACCTTGACTGGGCATTCAGTCAGTTCCTCCACTCCACTCACATTGAAACTTAGTGTATCTCGAATGCAGCCCTCTTTGTAAATGTACTCTGTTGTCAGTATAGTCGGAAGCCCCTTGGAAGCAGGGATTTTGTTTTATTGCTTTTGTCTTGTTCATCTCTGTAATGCCCAATTGCACCTGACATGAAGGAAGCATTTGATCAATAAAAACAGGAAAGAAATAACCAAATGAGCTTGACTATGGAGCAAATCACACTCACTATTGTCCTCCATGGCTGTAGTCCCCAACCCTCAGGCCACGGACTGGTACTCGTCCATCATCTGTTTGTAACTGGGTGAGCAAGCAAAGCTTCATCTGTATTTACAGCTGCTCCCCACCACTTGCACCACTGCCTGAGCTCCACCTCCCATCAGATTAGCAGTGGCATTAGATTCTCATAGGAGCATGAACCCCACTGCAAACTGCGCATGTGAGGGACCTAGGTTGCATGCTCCTTGCAAGAATCTAATCCCTGATGATATGAGGTGGAGCTGAGGTGGTGATGTTAGCGCTAGGGAGTGGCTGTGAATGTAATAAATGTAATGTGCTTGAGTCATTCCAGAACCATCCCCCCAGCTAGTCCATGGAAAAGTTGTCTTCCATGAAACCAGTCCCTGGTGCCAGAAAAGATTAGGGACCACTGCTCCCTGGTATCTGGTGCATAGTGATGCTCAGTCAATGTGTGCTGAATGAATGAAGGCGTGTGTGCATGAATGAATAGCCATGGTACGAGGCCAAAACATAGCATGTTGTGCCAATGACACAAAATCCTTGACTTCTAAACCCTATGGTCCTAAATCAGCTCAAAATTAGGGTAAGATTTGTTTTCATTTGAGAATATATTAATATTTATATGAAAAATCCTACAGAGCATTCAAAAGTAGATATCATTTAATTCTGTATTTAATCCGTGTCTTTGATGAAAGAATAGAATTATTTAAGATGGTTAACTGGTCACCTTGTAGCCCGCTACTGCTTCACCCCTCAGGAAGCCTCCAGAAACAGCAGAGCCAGCTGGTTTGGATTTATAGCACTGGCAAGAACTCTTTTCTGCTGAGACATATGCTCCCCTCCAGAGTCGCTCTTTGCCCCTTCTCAGATACTGAGATTGGCCCAAGAAATGTTCAACTCAGATGAGGCATTTAGCAAGAGGAAGGCAGCAATGAGCTAGGGGTAGAGTAGCTGAGCTATTTTTCCACTGAGCCAGTAACCACAATCAGAAATCAGGATACCAAATGGACATAATCTGCATTCCCTCCAAGTCTCCAAAATGAAGATCTGCAGAAATCGTAATGCCCTTGGAATTACTCAGTGCTCTGCAGGGCTGAGATGTGTTCTCCCATCCCTTTATCCCTGGTGAACCCAAAGGGGAAAAAGGAAACAAGACCACCATGAAATTCGATTCCCTCTCCTTGGATGGACTCAAGGTCAGGGAGTTGCTAAGAAGGCTTGGCCCCTCCAAGCCAAGTTCTCTTGTCCTTTGGACTCACACAGATACTCAAATACAGTTTGCTCTGGGAATCAAGTGATTAAGGGCTCCATATTGTTTCTGATTGAATTTAGTTGCTGGAGGAAATTAATTTGCCGACCTAGAGGAAGAAGTCTGAGGTCATGGGTGGTCCTTGAACCTGGCCAGTGTCGCTCAACCCCTGCTCTCCTAACTAACCATTATACAATATTAGCTCCAGATGAGGGGGGTTGGTTCTTTCTCCTTCTCAGAGTTTTTTCATTTGTTATCTCACTTAGCATCCATGTCAGATCTGGGATGTCAGTAGGAAAGATAACACTATCCCCATTTTATAGCAGAAAAAAATACTGAGTCTTAGACATATGATGATTCTAAAGTCCCACGAGTCAGAGATAAAGTCAAGACTAGAAGCATTTGTTCTTTCAACAGATATTTATTAAGCATCTGCTCTGTACCAAGCAGGGGGCTAGGCTCTTGGGGATGCAGCAACAAACAATCGCTAATCTTGAGTAAGCATTTCAATTGAGGAAATAATGTATACATAAGCAAATTTCAGCTGTTGGGAGATTCCAATGAATAAGACAGAGTATGCCGGGGTGTCTGATGGTCAAGCCAGAGCTCTCAGGGGATGGGACATTTCTAGTGACCTGAATAGCCACAAGGAGGGAGGAGGAGCAGGGCCGGGCTTCTGGCATGTGCAAGGAACAGAAAGGCCAGCTTGGCCGGATTGTGGTAAGGAAGGCAGAGAGTGGAAAGAGAAGAGGTGGAAGCGCAGAGGGTATGCAAGCATAGAGATTTTTAAAACATTGTAATGACATCTTTTCCATTGCCTTAAATCATCATGCCCTGTAGCTCTCCACCCATTGAATAGATGGTTCCAAAACTTCCAGAGAAAATACTAGAAAGAATGAAGTCATTGTTCAAATTTTACTGTAAAAGTGGATAAGGAGAAGGGTTATAGCCAAATAAGTCTTGAGAGTCCGAATTTACAGAGTAAAAAAGAGATATTTCTAAATACGAAAGTTTTCTTCACTTAGCAAGCATCCGTGTAAGCCATATTTAAGAGGCTAGGTTGTCGTAGAAGAAGCAAGATTGGTCCTTTGCCAAAGATAGGAGCCCTGAGTAGACAGAACTCAGAATTTGGTACAAGAGAAGTTTCCATTTAACCAACTTCCAAGGCAGAGAGGCAGGAGGAAAGGCAAAGGGAGGCAGAAGAGGAATGGTTATGTGTTTGACTCTGGTTCTATTTCCCCCTGAGATATTATAAACTATCCAATGAATTTGGGAATTCCAGACAGTAAAGTTTCTTCCTCACCTCCCTTGTCACAAACTATAAAATTTTCAAGTTAAAATCAGTGTCCTTGATATGCAAATGCAGCGTTAAGTCATGCTCCTAGACTAAAATGCATCTTCAACCTAACTCCCATCCTTAAGTCTCTCCAGTGTAGACATTCTGAGCTACCACAGGCGGTTGAAATACAGCCACCGAGAGCACGGAGCTCCTCTGGGAAGGCCAGGAGCTGGGAAGGGAGGATTCCCATGGAGATTCCAAATGCCTTTCAACAGTCCTGTGCATTCAGAAAGTCAGCGATAGTCAGAAGCCGGATTTTCTAAATGTGTAACAAGCATTTCTCTTTGGGTACCACGTAGCCTTAACCAGCCCCTGCCGGTCCACGGGTGTTCAGAATCGGCTCCCGGTGCCGGCTCCACAGACGGATGCGGGCCCACACACGGTGCGGGGGGCGCAGCTCGGACGAGGGGCACAAGCCGCAGGCACACAGGAGGGTGGGGTGGAGCACGGATTGCAGGGCAGCCTGCAGAGAGGTAGCAAGGTGAGCAGAGTTAGGGGAGGGAAGTGAACGGAGCCTCGGTGATATGGGGGGCATGAGGAAGAGTCCCCCCTCCAAAACAGCAGGGCATGGACCCAGCTGACGCCCACGGCCACAAGCACCTACTGAGCACCTCTAGGGTTAGGCAAGGTGCTCTCTAAAATGCCTTCCAGAATTAAAGTTTTCTAGATGAGAGCCAGGTTCCATCTCATAGGATAGAAATTACTAGGAAGAATTTAAGAAAGGAAAAGCAAGTTCAAAAACCTGCGTGATCTATCGTCACATCTCCTGTTTGAGGAACAACCACATTTCTGCTCTCATCAGCCAATGGCTATGCCAAGCAGCCCCAGTAGAGACCTGGCAAATGTCCTCTAAGTGGACAGTCATTCCCCTCACATTCTGTCAATCACACAGAGGTGCACAGTAGGGCAGGGCAGTGACTCGCTGCAAAGGAGTAACCAGAGCCTGTTCTATGCAGAGACAGCTCTTACGATGCGCTGACCTCATGAGCACTGGGTAAATGATTTAGCCAGGAACTGCCCAGATCACACGTACTTGCAGTCCTCGCACTCCAGAAGTTTCCGGTACGTGTTGATCTCGTCCTCCAGCCGGGCCTTCACATCCAGCAGCACCTGGTACTCCTGGTTCTGCCGCTCCAGGTCTGCCCGGATCTCGGACAGCTGCTCCTCCACGTTGCCGATGAGGCTCTGCATCTGGGCCAGCTCCGTGCCGTAGCGGGCCTCAGCCTCGCACAGGGAGTTCTGCAGGCAGTCCTTCTGCAGGGGGGGAATGAGGGTGTAAGAGACCCACGGCCTCCAGGGAAACTGCTACATGCACCACATCGTAATGGTGCTAACAATGGCCACCATTGCTGCAATCTGAAAACTCACCCAGCCCTGGGCAAATTCCAGGAACTCATACTGCAGAGCTCTCAGTAAGCCAAGTTGAATGTGAACAAGACTTTTCCCAGACTAGCACTGCACCAAAGCTTAACTGGCTGCATATCATCCATTCCTATACATCCAACACCTAACAGGTACATTTTTGTACACTGAATGCCTATCCCAAACTATATTTGATTTCTTAGGCTATGTTTCTGAGTTTGACCTGATCTTGACAATAATACAGAAAAGAACTTCACAATCAATGGGTTTGCAGGTGGGAGGACCCAGGGACTCAGACCTCCAAAAATAAATACTACCTGTCCAGGGAGTGAGATGACTGCAATGCAGTGAGGGTGAAGGGGACACGTACCAGGGTGTGCTGGGCTTGGCGCTCCACCTCCAGGGCATTCACCGTGCATCTCAGCTCCAGGATCTCAGACTGGCAGCACTGCAGCTCCTCGGAGCAGGACATGGCCTGCAGGCTGATGCCTTCGGACTGGAGCACAAGTGCACAGACAGACACAGTCACCTCCCTGCCCAGATGGAACCCAGTGCCCTCTGCTGGGCAGCCCCGCCCTCACCTGGGCTTGGAACCACTGCTCCACGTCCTGGCGGTTGGTCTCCACCATGGCCTCGTACTGGCACCTCATCTCCCCCAGCACCCTGCTGAAGTCCACCGTGGGCTCTGTGTCCAGCTCAATCCGGATCTTGTCTCCCAGCTGACTCCTCAGAATCTTCACTTCCTGAGGGACAGAAGGGACAGACACCTGAGTGAGGGAAGGGCCTTTGGCAGAGCAGACAGCACCTGGCCCCCGCCTCTGATGAGCAGCAGGAGGGGAGCCCCACATGCAAGCACATGCCAAAGTCTCGCCCAGGGCCCCGTGGGAAGAGCCCTCGTGGAGACCTTCCTCGTGCACGAGGCACGTGCTCCACGTTCCGCAGAGGCCGGCTGGACCCTCAGGCCCACACCAGCCTCATGCTGCAGCCAGCTGACCCAGGCTCCCATCTGAGAGCCACAGGTCGGTGCCCCTTGTCTGCCAACCCCCCCACCCCCCGCCATGAGTCTGTGTGCTGGGGACCGCACCTGCTCGTGGTTGCTCTTGAGGGCGAGCTGCTCCTCCTTCAGGGACTCCTGCTGGGCCTCCAGGTCGGCCTTGGCCAGGGTGGCGTCGTCCAGGAGCTTCTGCATCCCACACATGTCCGCCTCCACCAGCTGGCGCAGGGCGCGCTCGCTCTCGTGCCTTCCGTCACGGGAGGAGCCAGGTCAACAAGCTCGCCCGTGACCGCCCTGCTGGCTGCCCTGGTCCCCACCTCCCTCACCACCTGGGAGCCTCACTCATTCACTGGATTGACATTCTGTATGTTCGACCCTCTAGCTACAGGGCTTATGGTTGGGACGAGAATCATTCTGCCCACTGACTCAAGGGGAAACTGAGCCTCAGAAAGGACAAGTGCACCATCCAGATGACTCACCTGGTTAGTAGCAAACGCATGGACTCAACCTAAGTGTTCCCACTTCAAATGCAGTATTGACTCTGCCATACAGAAGTCAGCAGCCAGAAAAAGGGATGACAAAAACCAGGCCTCTGGGGCTTCCGTAGCTGCTTATTTGTTCCCAATTGTTTCCCATTGCCTTTCCACCCGTCTCATTTTATGCAATTGCAATTCTTGATACCAATGAGCTCCAAGATGGGTTTTGCTAAAGATCAGTGAATCTGTCAACGACCTGTGCTCTGAGAGTTTATTCTTGCAATGACTGAATTTTGCTCCTGTTTAAAGGCAAAACCCTCTTATTTTCTAGATATGGGGCAGGGGCTAGAGAATTATGTAAGTCCTAATCAATCTAGACTATATCTTCTCTTTTGTTTTAATGCTTTTATTCTCTTCCATCCTATATAATGACTATTTCTAGTGAAGGCTAATTTAAGATTTAGAGAGAAAGGAAATGGACACTTATTCATTCGTTCTACTAATCAAAATATTTTTGAGCACCTACATTAGGTCAAGTATGTGACAGGAACTTGGAAATAGAGCAGGAGAGAGAAGTCACCCTGGCCCTCCGCGGCCTTACTCACTTGATCCTGAAGTCATCGGCAGCCAGCTTGGCGTTGTCAATTTGTACAATCAGCCTGGTGTTCTCAGCCTTGCTGCACAGGATCTGAGGAACACCAAGAAGACAGTTCACCACAAAGCATCACACCCTGGGCTCCAGCTCGTGTGGGGTGTCTACACCCATGCCTCAAAAGAATCCAAGAATCCAGAGCTCTTTGGGGCTCACGTGGACGTTTCCTGCTGCGCCCTTCCGCCTTCTCAGCCCCAGCTCGCCCTGGTGACCCCAAGCCTCACCTTCTGCTGGAACTCCTCGATGGTGCGGAAGTAGGACTGGTAGTCCGGGCACACGCTGGACTCGTGGCATCTGGTCCACTCGCGGAGCTTGGCCTCCAGGTCCGCGTTGTCCCGCTCCAGCTGGCGCACCTTCTCCAGGTAGTTGGCCAGGCGGTCGTTCAGGAACCGCATGGTCTCCTTCTCGTGGCCATTCAGGCTGCCTTCACAGTAGGACCCACAGATTCCGATATTGCCGGGAATGTGGCGGGTCCCCGGCAAGGTACAAGCAGCCTGGCAGGTGGGGGGCAGACAGAGGCTGGGGCGGCCCAGAGGGGTGGACCCTACACGCACTCGGTTGGCATGTGCCAGGTTGGCCAGGAGACACTCTGGTCTGGTCGGGCACTCAACCTCAACCACAGGGACGGGGACGGGGACGCTTCTTGCACCCAGAGGCTTGGGGCAGCCAAGAGAGCAGGGTAAGCTGATGCAGGAGGAAGTCATGGTGTTGGGCTGAGGCTGCACAGGAGTTTCAGAACAGCGGGGAAGGCTGAGCCTCGGAGTCTGAGAACCTCCTCTCCTCCCGGCCCTTTTATACCCATCCCGGGTGGGTGTTGGTACAAACGCTTTGACCTCACTGTTGTGGTGCCATCAGCCTGTTACTCAGCTATCAAGTTTACTATTAAAAATTGCTCACCTCGTTAAAGGAATGTTGATGAATCTGAGGTGGCTCTTGACTCTTTGATATCAGGTTGGCTGTGGTGGGAAGTCAGAAGATTCTTATTATTTTTCAAAGAATCAAAGTTCTTTTAGCTACCAGATGCATGTCCCTTGACTGGGTGTTGGCGTGGCTGTGCATGGGCCCATGCTGCAGGGGTGGACATTCCTGCTGGTCCACGGTTCTGAGGAGGATTGGCCCCGTGACAACAGTGGTGCTCACCTGGTTAAGGCTCAACCGGCTTTCCCTACACAAGGAAGAAACTGATTCTTGTTATTGGGGGATGTTACAGTGTGTGGTTATCAATAAGTTCTACATTTCTTCTGTCTTCAGTTATCTACCTTTCAAACTCACTTTGAGGAGCTATAAGACTTAGATAAATCCACATGTAAGTGACTTCCTACATACCAGGCACTGTGCCACATGCTTGCCATACACTTGGTTAAGCAGGAACAGTCCCTGCCGTCAGGAAACAACCATAACTTGGGTAGACGTGATGTTGTAAACAAGGTGACTCTGAAAACCACCACTTCTCTGGACCAAGAAGGGTGAGCTCAAGAAGCCAGAAACAACAACAACAACCAAAAAAAAAGTGGACAATAGTCCCAAATAAGAACTTGGCCATGAAGGTCAAAGGACATTGAGAGATCAGAGTCTCCGTCTTCATGCCTTGCTTCCCTGATTGTAAAGGCAATTATTAGGCACCCATTGTATGCGTTAGCCATTGAGGACCAGAGGTGTGAGGTCATTTTTCTAAGATCAACCCCATTATAAGGTAAAAAGCCTGCTCTGAACATCCGTGTCTTTCAACACCAGAGACCGATGACCACCATGTGCCCCACCCCCAAGTAGAACAACTGTCGTTGCTAGAACGAAGAAGGGCTAAAAGGCTTAGAAACTGGCCAAGAAGTTGAAATCAAGATATAAAACGAAAATCTGGCCTTGTGTGTTATTCGTTTTGTGTCTCAGAAAATGCAAATGTTTGGGTACCCTGCAATAGAACAGGGTTTCTCCAAAAGCTAAGTAAGAAAATGCCCAGAGGAAAGCCCTGTCTCTAAAATGGTTATAATATACGTCCACATTCTGAGAACTGTTGGTACCAGGCACCCAAGACAACTGACTGCTGAGACACCAAAAGTTTTCTCTCCAAATTTGTGGCAGTGGATAAATTGGCCCCTAGGACTAAGAAATACCTAATGTGGAACAAGCCCACCAAAGTGCTTGTAACTAGGTGTTTAAGAAAATGATTATTTCCAATATCCTGAGCACAGAGCAAAAGCTGAGCATGTACCTCTGTAGGGACCAGATATGTACATATGAAACACAGGCTAGTGGAGTTCTATCAAGAAGAAACAGAATTTGAGGATTCTGTCCAGATTGGGTTTCCCAGGAAAGTAACTCGTGGTCAGCTCTAACCCCAGGGTTAGTCAGAGCTCCCCGATGAATAACCCTTTACAGACACCAAGCATTAGGAGACTTCACCAGGCCAGGCCATCCCACCCTTCAGGGGCCACTGGGTGCAATCTGCATACGTTACATCTTCAAACACCCCTTTGTTACTCTCCTCCACCTCATCACAGAGCAGCAAGCTCCTCTATAAACCAGAGAACTAGACTTTTAAAGTCGTCTCCTTTGATTTGCTAAATAGAATCCATCTTTTGACTTTATCCCTCTGCCAGGATTCATTCCATGGGCTAAAAGCCATGATTTCTTCTAATCATGATACATGATGCTTGTTAATTTATAGCATCACTGCTGAAGCTTCATATATCCGGATGACAACCCTCTCTACTAAAGCTTGATCTCGTGGTCCTGTCTGGGGCTTTTACTGAGTGTGCTGCTTTGCATAATGACACTAGTGTAGCATGTGGCGTGTCCCTTTGTAAAGTCACTTGGTTCCACTTATTTGCATTTTTCTCAAAGGAGGCCAATGTAGGGTGGGAATCCTAAGATCATCTTCCTTCCCAACCCTTTAAAAAGAGTCCCCTTGGCTCCTGATGACCAAGTATGAGCCAGGTTGATTGATGAGAAGTGGTGAAGACAGAGCGTGAGAGATGGGAGCCTATAGCCCCTCTTCCTTCATTCACCTGTGAGCACAAAGTTCTCTGCACGGATTCTGACTTTAGACACACCAGCATCTAGAGGCATGAAGTCTACCGCAGATACAGGTAAGAGTTGTGGTCTGGGGTTGCTACTTTCAAACATAGTGTTGGTACATATGGTGTATCTCACCCAGTGGGAGAGACAGGTGTGGAATTGTAGGCTGGCACCTGGAGATGGTGCCTAACGCAGAGCTTACCTTGTCCACATCCCGGCTCCTACTGCAGGAAGATGTCAGGGGACACCCATGGAATTGTGCTCTGCATGGGAGTATAACCCATCACACACTGTAGTGCATGCAAAGGTTTAAGACAACTGCCATATATAGATCCTAGTACTGCCACATCTCCTAGGAGTTAGGAAGTGGGGTCCCAAACAATTGTAGGTCAAGGAAGTCATGAAGACTCGAGAAAAGAGACTGAACATATCAATTTACTATTCTAGGCATCCTCATTCATCTCCACGTCCCCAGAGCCCAGCGCAGAGTCTGAGAGCAGAGCAGGTCCTCCACCAGTAGGTGTTCAATTAAGTAAGCAGGTAATGAGCAACACGAGATAACCAAGCAAAGAAAGATACTCGTACAAGTAGTGTACATCCAGCCTCATAATATGTTCTCATTATATGAACAAGGGCTGGATACTTTCCAGACAACCCTCGTATGTTGAATCAGTGAAGCAATATCATGGATTCTTAAGCAGTGTATAAAAAATAAATATGTAATCTGAAGTATGCTTATTCTTGAAGGATAAAACTGCTTCATCATCTCACCAGCCACTGAGATGCTCCTGTTCCCTCTAGAGGTCCAAGGTCCCAGCTGGATCCTGGGGGTCTCAGCAAACTCAGGCAACCCCCGGAAAGGGCAGAAGCAACTGGTTTGTTCATATACCCCCGGGAACAACACTTCTCTGCTGAAACTGCATTCTCCCCTCAAGAGTCACTCGTGACCTCTCTCACATCCTGACAGTGACCCAGGAAAGGGACAACCCAAGCAAGGCATTTAGCCTCATTTAGCTCATCAGGCAGGGATGAGCCAGCACAGAGGAGATGCCTTTTGATGAAGAAAATTGTATGTTTGGTTGTCTACACTGTGCTGAAATAAAATCAGCATCTGGACTTTCTCCTAGGCTAGCCATGTCAGCCTTCGGGACAGGGGTTCTCAAAATTTGGTTCTTTAGCCAACGGCACCTGCAACTCCTGGGAACTCATTAGAAAAACACACTCTCAGATCCCACCCCAGACCCACTGAGTTCAGAAACTGGGGTTGAGGCCCAGCAATCTGCGGTTTAATGAGCCCTCCGAGTGTCTGATGAACACTCGAGCTTGACAGCCACTGCTCTGAGGGGCCAGTCCCGATCACAGTGAGTAGAAACATCTGGTGTGAACATGTCCCATCCGGTGTGAACATGTCCCATCCGGTGTGAACACGCTCTGCTCACCCTGAAAACCCATTGAGGGCAGCGCCTCACCTTGCCCGCACACTAGAGCCCCTGGGGAACTTTCAGAGAGTCTAATGTCCACGCCACACCAAGACCAACGACATCAGACTCCCTGGAGCTGGGACCCAGGATCAGTACTTTTTAAAGCTCTCCAGGTGGTCCCAATGTGCAGCAAGGGTCAAGAAGCAGTGACCTAGAAGAGCAAGAAAAAGATAGAATGGGAAAGATGGTGTGGTTAAAAAAAAAGCAGCATTTTGAAGTCAGACAGAAGTACAGATTTTAGCTTTACTATGTCCTTTTAAGCCATGGAGCTTTTATTTTCCCTTTTTGGAAATAGAGGCTATAAAACTGCTGTGGAAATTACTTGGGAGGATTCATATTCCAGAAAGTGGTCATCAGGTGCTAATGAAACTACTTTGAATAAAGCAGTGCAAGGCTGCACGACCTTATCTGCAATTCTCAAATCCAAAAAATTCTGAAAACCAAGTTTTCTTGAAATTCGTTAGTCTTTGTGTAGGGCTTATTTATCTCACTTGGTATGAGTATCTGTGCACGTCTCAGCAGAATTAGCAATGTGTTTGCTTACCAGGGCTTCCCTGTACCCATCGGAGGTCTAGATGGGAGCCCAGACACTAGGGCCATGTGAAGAGCGACCCTCTCGCTGCTGTTCGTGTCTCTTTCATGTGGGTGTCTGGGTTGGAGTGCTGATGTGTGGTTGAGGTCTGTGAGGGTGGAGCCACACCCATCCAACACATCAGTCACCTGCAGAGGACAGGTACTCCCAAAAGGGAAAGAAGCACATCGAGGGCTAACTCCTCCTTGGTCTAGATGCCCAGGAACCTAGTGTCTGGTGTGGGGCCCCTGGGAGCACGGGGCTGGATATGATGTCAAGCGAGCAGAGGGAATCAGGAGCTACAAAGAGAGGCTCCAGGATAAGGTCATTTTCCCCCTAGAGCCATGAGATTGACAGGTCTGCATGTCCCACAAGCAGGCTGTGAGCCAAACATCTAGACTCACGATCCACAGACCCCTAGTGAGCTCTCAGCCTGGAGCTGAGTGTCCTCTAGAGCATCCCCTCCACCCAGCAACAGGGAGCCGAGATTAGTGAGAGGAGACTCCCCAGTCCTGGCCATGGAACTTGGTGACAGACAGCAAGGGCAGGCGACCCAGGCAGGCAGGACTGAATTAGTTGACCCATTCTCCCCCCACCGCCACCCCCAGTGTCCTTCTAGGCTAACAAGATGGGATAAAGGCTTTGTTCTCATTCAAATGGCGGGGAGGGGGAGGAGTTTCTATACAGGCTCTGCTCCCAGCATTGCCACCCATGAGCTGTGTGGCCCGAAATAAGTCAGCTTGCTCTGGGTACCCGGTTCCCCAGCTGAAATATGTTTGAACTATTGTGAGCACAGCCCAATTCGAATCACATTGTATGTTGCAACCCAAGTCACACATATGTGCTGAGACCCCAGTTCCACATAAAAATGTTTCATTTTTCTATTGTTTCATTTCATTCCATATTTATGTGCTCTTTCGTGCTCACTCACTCTCTCTCCCCCTCTCTCTCTCTCTGTCTCTCTCATGCTGATCAAAATCCACTAAAATGACTTCACAGATGGTTAATGGGCCACAGCCATAGTCTAAAAAACACCAAAGGATAGAAAGCGGCAGATATGGAAGATGAACAAGTCTAATGTACAACATGAGGACTATAGTTAATAAAATTGTATAGTATTAGGGATTTTTGCTAAACAAGTAGATTATAGCTGCTCTAGCCATGGGGGGGGGGGAATAGCCAGGTGAGGCGGGGCTGCCCAGCGGGTAGGGTACCTGGTTTCTGTTCTGGGTCAGGTAGGTGACCATGTCGTTTACCTCACTGTGCCCAAGTCCGAAGGCATCAGCCTGCAGGCACATCCTGCTCTGAGGAGCTGCAGCGCTGCCAGTCGAGATCCTGGAGCTGAGAACGCTCAGTGACACCCTGGAGGTGGACCGCAGGCGCAGCACGCGCTGGTGAGTCCCTGTGCATGCGTGGGAGACTAAGCTTGGCTCCATTTCCCACGACGTGAGGCTTGGAGAACTTAACCAGTTTGCCCTAATCAGAGAGCTGGTAAGCGCGAGAGGGCCAAGACACTGAGGCCGGGCTGTGGATGGACCGTGTCCACGTGTGTCTGTGCTGCGGATGCCAGCATGCTCACACGCCACTCCCTGGGGCCACATGCAAGGGTACCCTGTGACCTGCACCCTTGTGGCAGCCCCTCCTTGAGTCCATCCTGTGCGTCCACCTAGGCTGCTGGGCAGCAGCAGATTCTGCACACGGGTCACCTGTCACCTGCTGATGAGAGGGAGGCAGAAATGAGAGACCACCTGTGCTGTGGCCCACCTTACAAAAGCTGCTCACCAGTGGGGCGGGTGCCCTGCAGCTCTGCAGCTTCTCGGGAACCTTTCACCTGTGCGCGATTTTCAAGGAGGTGCACGGTGGGGCCACTTTCCTCCTTTGGCGCTTTGGGAAACTGCATCTTTCTTCTGGTTTCCTGGCCAATAAATTAATGAAGTTGTGTAGTGAGAGTGAGTCTACTGTGGCCAGTTTATTTCACTGAGTCACAGGGTATATTGTCTAGTGTTCTTTTTAAAATAAATTTTATTGTGTATATTTAAAGCATACAATACTATTATTATATTATATATATATTATTATGTATAATATATATATATTGAATGTTATTACAGTGAAAACAAATGAACATACCCACTATCTCACATAGTTCCCATTTTCTCTCCGCCCCTCTCCCATTGGCTTGTAGCAGT